ACAAAAATAAGGATAACTTAAATAAATAAGCAAAATGCTGTAAATGCGTTTCAATAGAAATTCAAATTTCCCAAACTCATTAGTTTCTAAAAGCATACAAATAACAATATAATATATAATTTAACAACAATTTTCCGTAAACCAAATAAAGAGATCTCTCAATTTTCTCCGTAGCCCATGCACGATAAGCAATTGACTAAGTGAAATCCCTAATGGCCAAACATTGCGTATTTACTACGAGTCGTTCGTATCTCCATCGCCGATGGCCTTAATTACACTTCTTCAGTGCTATTGAGAGTGCAACTTTTGGGCATATTTTAGGCCTGCAAGGCTGTCCAAACAGCAACGGGCTAATTAACACAGGGGGGCTGGCAAAGAGGGTGAGGGCGAGGGGGAAGAGCTGTGGCAGTGGCAGTGAAAACGGAGGAATTCCCCGGTGCCACAACAGGCCAGAGAGTTATGCATTAATAATGCAATCGCAAAGCAGCCCAAAAGCCAAAACGGGAGCAAGCTCATTTGGAGGCACACGCAGTGCGATGGCCACAGGCTTTTGTCAGCCACTGTGTCGGCATGTTGCATACTTTTCTGGGCGGCTGCAACAGCAGTAACAATAGCTGCAATACTGGCAACAACAAATTATAATGCAATTGCAAATGCTCGTCGTTTGTTCATTCCGGTAGCCGTATGGGTATGCGTGGGTGAATTTATGCATTCTCGCTGCGTTTCCTGCATTGACATTTACTTGGGGTTATTACCAATGCCGGGGGCCGTCGTTTCGCATTAATGCAAACTACAAACTGGAAACTGCAAACTGCAATTGTTACAAGCAACAAACAGCAATCGACCCACACCTTTCGCCCACTTTCATTGTGGTTTTTGGCATTTTTTCGCCAATTGTTTTCGGGCCGGGCATTCAACACTTTTGTTTGGTTGCTGCGGTCAACCACATCCTGCACAGCATTTTCCTTATCGATTTGAGACAACGACGTCATCATTTTTGTCCTGGCATTTAACTCAACTTTATTCCAGGAAGTTGCCTTTGAATTTCATATTTATTTTGTTGATAAGTGCTCGGTACCAGACAATTCAATTGGGAAATGCGTCACCCGGGGGAAATTGCTAACGCAGACATTAAGTGACTGGCTTGCAACGAGAATTGCAATCGTTTAAGACATTAAAACGCAAATTTCAAGTATTTAATGGATTATAAATTCTGAATACTTTGTTGCAAACATGTTGCATAAAAGGTTTGTATTTATTACTTAAAAATTGCATTTGCTTCCTTGAATATGTGTTTTAAAATTTTAATTAAGCAATACAATTGATTAACTAACTTATTTATCTTTTATCGATTTGTATACTGACTTTCGACGGGAGTGTCCCATTAAGATAACGCCCAAGTGTGTTTATTTTGTCATCATGGCTGTCTTCACTTCATATACCATTATTTTCTCACTCCAAACATGAGGTTACAGCAACTCGTTGCAATTACAATACTGTTGATAGGGAAACTTTTAATCGGCTTAATGCATAGCCAAACTATACAACTAATTTCTCGGTAGGCAAACCGATAGAAGGAACACAACTCCCTCGAGCGACCGAAACTTTGTGGTTTGAGCTCGATGGCACTCACACACAGTTCTTTCAAAAAAAAAAAGTACACTCGAGCCTTGGACACAGATGAGTTCAAAACAACAGCAATGCATAAGAAAAAATGCAAAAAAATCTGAGATTAGAAACTAATTCAATAAAGCATGAAAACAAAATATAGCATTTAAAATAAGTTTTTTGTGAAAATATTAAGTTAAAAATAATGGAGCGTAAATTTTTCCATTGAAATAAAACTTTTTTTTCAATTTAGAGCTACAGAAGTATAGAACTGGAAATAAATGTATTTACCATTATATTTATTCAACCAGTAACCAACTGTTTTTGATAGCATTTTATTTAATTTCTATACCTATATCACTATCTGTTTAAAGATTCGCATCACTGCCGCACTTAGCTGAATATGCATAAAACTCTAATGGTACATAATTTCAATGCCTGCACAAACTTTAATTAAAACGACTTTGCCGAGCGGTAAACATCGGTGTCCCAGGCGACAAGCTCTGTCGACATCGAGATACATCCAACCCAGCAGATAGACAGATACACAGATACACAGATACACAGATACTCTACTCCGTCGCATGGCATGAGATTGGGGCTCTCCTAATGAAGTGCATGAATACCTTGGCAGGATGGCACCAGCCGAAATCCATGCGATAGTGTGTGGGCTCCCCCGAATTTGTGCGTGCTCATAATCATTTTGATGGGCACGTAAAATTCAAACTAAAATCACTAGAGCGTTGGCAAACAGCGTCGCATCTGCCAAAGGCAAGGAAAAATACGGGAAAAACAACATCAGACCGGGCAGAAAACTAATATACAACATTCGCACGTGACTTTGATATTGAAAATGCTTAACACGGCAGGAAAACATTCAAATGTTCCCCAAATGGCAGGTCAGCAACGACTTTCGCCCCATTTCGGATGTTAACCGGATTTATGTGCAAACTTTTGTCTATTTTTAATAATATTTACTTTTATGGCTTAGCCCATGCACTTTATATCCTTTAGCACGAGTCAATTTATGGCCCTCGACTTGTTGATTCTTACAATTTCAAAAGTTGTCTGCCGTGACTTCACACAATACCCACATTAAAGTGTAAATAGTTTAGCCATTGATCAGAGAACCGAAGGGAATAGTTTCGGTGAACGTGTTTGGAATTTCTGGCTGGCAAATGCTGACCTCAGTTATTGGGATAAGTCGGTCCTCTTGATGAAATGAAAATCAATTGAGTTTCGTGGTTGGGTTGGGTTGCCTCAGTGATTAAACGGAAGCAATAAAGGCCAAAGGCCAAGATTTAAGTTGTAATAGCCGCAGCTGTGCGATAATCTAATGCAATAATTAGGTAATTAATCATATCAGATGCAGATTCCCACACTCCGTTCAGCCCCCGCCAATTGGTCATTAAGTCACCCCACTCCTACGCGTCGGCACAAGGAGCTAATTAAAGATAAACAAAACGCTTTAAAAATCACAATGAGGCGGCAGAAAAGGGGATGCCCAGCTTTCAGAGTATTATGAAAATTGAAAAGAAAATATTTAAATATAAGCCTGAGAAAACAGACAGAAAATAAAGCGTAAAAACGTTTTACCTGTTGAAGACAACGGCAGTGTGGAAAAGCCCCAAGCAAATATGCGAGGGGCTAATGGAATTCATTGTTCGGCTTGCCGGGCAGAAATTTTATGATAATGCAATAATAAAGCATAAAACAAATACCATAGATACGATGTTCCAACAATACTTTATCTCATTTTAAGGCAGATTTAAAAAACTAATTAAATTTCCTTAGCATAAAAATTGTATATTAAATTTAAGTTTAGGGTTTAAATAAATCTAAGGACATTATTTATTCTCTGACACTAACGCAATACCCGAAACCAAAAACAAGGTAATAAGGTTAGTACATCTGCATTTCTTATTAAATTCATAAAACATTAATATCGATTATCACTTTTTCTTCCAAGACCAAAACTCTGAAAGAGAATTAGAATCCTAGAACGCCTATAAAACTAAATAAACACCATGACTGTTTCGCCTGACATACCAATTAGGCTAACACTCTTGAATATGAATAAATTGCAGCAATGAAGAGGGGTTCCCCTCAGAAGGAGGGGCAATAAAGCCAGACGGGCTGAGGATTATAAAAAAAAAAAGAAAAGAGGGCAGCGAAGGCCGAACAATTTAAAGCTCATCAATTCAGGACAAAGCAGCGCGTTGAAAACAATTGAGCAGTTAATGTTTGTTTACCCCACGTCCACAAGAATAAAATGTGAGCAAAATGAAAAGAAGATACAAGTGGGGTGTGGAAGGCGAGGACTCAAGTGAATTTAAAGGAACACAAAATCCATTTGCGACTTTGCTTTTCGCTTTTCCTTCCTTTATTTTTCCAAAGCCATTTTTTTTTTGCTGGCAACGTGCTGGCGGCAGAAACTTTTCATAATTGAAATAAATAAAATACGACCAAGACAAAATTGGAGAATACATTCTTGGGTCCGCTAGGGAAATTCGCCGATGAACGGCCATCCATGTTTGTATATCAATGGAAACTCATTTATTCGGATATTTTAGAAATAATGCGGATTCGTTTTATGCCCGCTGGACTCGTTTGCGCAGAAATTTAATCAAGCTTCGGCCACTCGGGTGGCGGTGCAAATAATTTTTGCAAATTCATTTACGCATTTCATCTGCCCCACCCCCTTTTGCCGCTGGCATGCAAAGCGTTTTTTAATCCCCGGCAACGTCTGGATGCCCGAACAAACGCATTGGCCAATTTGTGGCCAGCTGGAAAAAAAAGGAGAAGAAAATCCAGGAGGCGATGGGGAAAATGAATAAGTGAAACCGAAGGTTGAAGGCTGTGCCACAGCCCTGTGGCAGTTGCAGGAGCAATGACGACGAACATTGACAAATGGGGCGAGGCCACTGACCGGTTTACTCGGCCATCTATAAGTTCCAGCTGACGAGCGGAAAGTTGCTCAATTTGGGCTGTCCTTGCAGTAAGGCGTTGACAATTATCGTAATGAATGTGGCAACGTAAAATATCAGTTGCTGGGAACTTTGATATATATAAAACATCAAACCCCCTCTTTTTAAGTAAATATTTTTCGATGACACATTTTATCTTAATCGCATAAAAGAAAATAGTTTTGTTAATGAAATAAGACTTCAGCGTTTCTTTAAGCATGCTTTTGTTAATGCATTAACTCGTTTGTAAACAAATTCTTTCTAAATTGCATTTGGCTGATTTGCATGTGAAATTTTTTTTGCTTTTTGTTTTGTAAATAAAAAATAACTAAGGACCATTTTTAAGAACAAATTTTTGTTTATTACTATTTTTATATATATTAAAAAGTATAACAAAAAAAATGAGCTTTATATAAATTTTGTGTTTTACTTGACTTTCAAACAGGAACAGCAAGTATCATCTGGTGGTATTGGTGGTTCGCTTTGGCTAGCTCTGTGCACGGGTGATTTAATTTTCGACATTTCAACTTGGCAAATGTCAAATTCAAACTGGTTGGGCAGTCTTGCGTGCTGTACCCTTCTTACCAAGCACTGAAAAGTGAAGCAAAACGCGAACAATATGACCATAATGCAGCCTAAACAGACAAGAAGTATGGGAATTTTCCATAGTTCCTCTTGCTGTATTAATTCTCTAGGCTTAGTATTCTTCTTTATAAAGCTGTAGCACTCATCTGCGCTCATGAGAGCTTTGCTTGATTTTCGCTGAAATTTATTTGCTTGCTCACTTGAGAAAAAATTTGATCGACTTTCAGCACAAATATGGTCAAACCAACCCATTTTGTTAGTTTTGGGTGGAATTAATAATAAATGGGGGATATTGTTTGACATTTGTAGAAGAGATATTTATGTAATAAATGCTAAGCAATGTTCTGTTTGCTTTTATTTGAATAAAACTAAAAAGGTATGAGTTTAACTAACAAAACCAAACATTTTTATTATAAATAAGGTGTTTATATTTTAAGGTTTTTCCTTAACTCGCAAAATAATCCTTTATTTATATCCTTTAATTCAGCAATGCGCTGCAATTTAACCAACAAAATTGCCTTGCTAAATGACAGCTCTGACCCTTTTGGCACCGTTTAGAAATACATACTCCAGAATTCGGATAAACTCTCATAAACTTTGAGTTTAAATTTGATGGCTTTTATTAAGCGTGAACTGAAAGGTGAAGGCAAATGTTTGCGATAAACTACCTGGTAACTTGAAGCGAAAGTCGAGAGCATTCCCATGACTATTTGCGACTTCTTGTTGGGTCCTCCTTGCCAACACAAGCTAAGTAGGTTGATCCAATCACAAGGAAAAGCAGCAACCAATCGTCGCAGCAGCCCCAAGCCCCAAGATTCGATGAATATATTTTCCTTGGGACTTGCGGCGTGATTCGGATTCGCATTCGTTGCGTTGTCTGTTGTCTGTCAACTGTCGTCAGTCGTGGTCTGTGGTTCACGTTCCGACCTCTAACCCTTGGTTAATACCATATAGCTCGACTGGGGGGGACTGTAGCGCTCGACTTGGTCTTAGTTTTATTTATTTTCATATTATTCGAGAGCAGAGCGCGCTGCTCTACTTTCAATAACTGTGAATAAAACCGAATGAATGAACTGGCTAACCTTGCCGCTGGCTCGTCGCTCGGTGGGTGGTGGGTAGTACGGGAAAATGGGGCGCTGGGCTCTCGCTACTCTGCTTTGTATTCGGTTTATTAAAATATACATTTTCCTTTTTTTCATTTGGCTTCCCCCTATACAGAGCTTTCTATTTGGCCGTGTCTATGCCTTTGGCATGCTCAGCTTTTTACTCTTTAGCTTGGTAAATTTCACAGAAAAAATATTCATCATTTCTTTTTTCAAGTCGCCGCAGGTCAAAATGTCAGCAAAAACTGGACAATAAACTAGACGTACAGTAAAACTCATCTACCTTAATAAAATTAATAGAAGAAATACTAAGTTTCGAAAACAACTTATTACCAGTTTTAAGTGTAATCAAATGTACTAACATTATTGGTTGCTGTTTATTATTATTTTAAAAATATTTAATTTTTGTTTCCTTAAAAATAAAAAATGTACTCAACATTTAAAATCACTTCTCGTATTAATTATTTTAAAAAGTAAGTCGGCAGCGAACCATATTCAATGTTATTTAAAATATAATTATAAATATTTGTATTTAATTAAAATAATATAGTCTATTTAATTTATTTGTAAATAAGTAAAGGTCTATAAAACAAGTAAAAAGGTTCAACAGCATAAAGTAGATTTACTTTCCTGTAAATTACCACTGTAAATGTATGTTGCTTGATTTAATTTTTGAATTCATTTTAATGCTTGCGGCTTTTGCAAATTTCATGCGCATTTGCATGTTATTTCTGCCGAGCCCGCTTCGCCCCCGAAGATTTATTTGTCAGATACGCTATTTTATTTGATTTATGACCTCCAACGGCCAGGTTTTCTGGTCGCCGATAAGCTTGAAGGTTGCAGTTGCCCATGAGAATTGTGTCAAGTCTCTGAGCCTCAGATTCACCTCTCGACCAGGAACTTCCCCACTCCCTGCGATGACTGCTGTTCGTCGGAGGACGTAGTCAGTCCAAGATTTGCAACTGCCCGTCGCGATGCCCGACAAAAGGCCCCTGGATCCACTTCAACCAGTGCTGTATATCGACCACTGTCGCTATCGCCCTATTTATAGGAAACGGGCTCTGCACCTCCATTCTTCTCTGGCAGAAGCTCTGCGGGCCATTCAGCCAAGGGTTAAGCTCCAGCTAAGGATCAATGACCGGGGTCCGCCGCAAGATGGATCCTTTGAGGTGGCAGTTGCCCAGTATCCCACTGAGGATGCAGCCGCCCGCCAAAGTGTGTGGACCGGCTTGCGGCGAATGCCCAGTGCAACGAAGGTTCCCCATGTGGACGACATCTTCACCCCGGTTTGTTTCGCCCTCAAACTCAGGGATCCCAACAAGGAATCCCACCGACGGATGCTGACCAATTTGCGACACAACGATGGCAGTCGGGCAAGGAGTGAAGATTTTGAATAAATATTGAAATGTATTTCGTATTTTAGGCAACTTAATAAAATTGCATGTACTGGGTTCTACATTGATTATATTATAACACTTAAAACCATATTTTAACATTTGTTTATTTTATGTTGTTAAATAAACTAAGCTTTTTTTTACAATTGTTTTTACCACCACAACAAACAACCTAAATGTGTAATTAGAATTATTCACTTGAAAAGCATTTTTAATAGGAAACATAATTTTAATTGGAGAAAAAACAAAAAAAAGACAAGAGGAATATTTATTCCTTTTTAAAAGCTGCATTGTTAAAATTTTAGTTTATCTATTTATACACTCAATAATATTCAAGTTAAAAAATACTTTACTTAGTGCATATTTTCTATTAGCCTAATAAGAACCAACTCATTTAACCAAAAATAACTGAGCTTAAAATTTCTGTTTCATGCCCTCACAAAGAAAATGAAAAATTCGCAGCAAAAAGCCATCAAAAGGTCAAGCTTCTTCATTGCCTTAATGGTGAAGTTAAACTCTGAGTTCAGCCAACATAATTTCGGGGCAGACACAGAAGATAACACCAAAAACCCCAAACTAATGAAAAGGCAAACTGTGCGCCGGAGGAAAGTGCCACTTGGAGCAACTAAAGTGTGATGTGTAATTGCATACAGGCGGCAGTTATGGCAGCGCCAAAAGATGCAAAAGATGCAAATGAAAATTCCAGAAGGCAGTCTTAGTCCTTTGGCCCATTTCCTGCTTATATTCGCCGGGGGAGTCACTGGTTAGGATTTTCGCCTCGTTGTAGGGATCTTTGAAGGAGCGACAGAAGCTCAAGTTGAGTGCTGCATTTCGGCTTCATTGCGTTTCGGTGAGCACACAGTGAGCGCAAGAAGTCCGCGACTTCAACGAGCGGTGCATTGGCAAAGGCAAAAGCAAAGGCAGGGAGCACAATTAATCCCCCTCCTTAAAGAAGTTGTATAATATTTTCGTTGGCAAAGTATTTCGTTGCTTGACGGCTCTCCTTTTGCCAGAGCGTCTGCTTTCGTGACTTAAGTTTTCAACATACGCATTGTGCAAACACACACCGGCGCAAACACACGCACACTCATTAAGCTAGAGAGCACATACAAGTTCCGATGAGTGATTGTTGTTAACAAACATAAGTTCAACTTACATTTCTACGAAATTAATTTTGATGACTTTTTGTATCAGTTATGAAGAAAAACTTTTTTGCTGCATTTCTTTTTAATTTTTTTCATACCAATTTAATATCCACGATTTTTTTAAAATAATTTTGGCATGTTTTCATTTACACTACTGCAATTATGCAATCATATAAATTATTATTTTAACTAATTTGGTAACCGTTACAGTCCATCTATAACAGATAACAGATTCTGTGCGGTATTTGCAATATTGTAATAAATATTATACAAAATAATCAACATTTTCAAAATCAACAAAAATACATTTAGGTATAAACTCACAATAAAAAAATATATAAAATTAAAAAAAATAAATTGTATTAATAAAATAGAAGACATTTATTAAATGATATTTTGTATGCAAAATAAATTTAATTTTATCTAATATTTCGTGTTTTTTCAATTTATGTTTCAGAAATAAATCAAGAGCTATTTATGTGGCAGATTGCCAAATATTTAAATAATCAAATCAATTAATCGTTTTACCTGGCGTGAGAATGGGCTCTACAAAATTTATTTGATTTGACGCTTGATTGTTGAAGAAGGCAGATTTTCGTTTTCGTTCTTTCGTTTCTCAGCAACCACTGTACCGTGATTCGAGAGTAAGTCCTGACAGGACGTGCTGGCCTGGTCTTGAAAGGCAGCATAAGTAGTGGAAAACGGCAGCATATTAATCTTGCAAACAACAACAGCTAAAACAAAAGCATCAGCAATGGCCGCGAAGACATTGCAGCAGTACTTGCACTCCTTTCGTTTCCTTCCGCCAGCCAACGGAACATGTAACTAAGTCGTTTGTGTGCCCTTTTTATTTTCGCACAAAGTAAATGAACTTCATTATAAGTAAAACGTCTCTGGAGTTGCTTTTCTTTGTTGCCGTCTGCCTTGCTTTTATTTTGTTCTTCTGGTATTTTTGCATTTTTGGTTTTGGCTTTCGGTTTCAGTGTCAGTGTTGTTAACACAAATGGCGCATTTTGTTGCTGTCTGGCTACTGGAGCTGTTGCCAAAAAAAATAAAGTTGCTACAGACTTCGGAGGAGAAGGCGGATTTTTGACAGCACAGGCATCACGTTCCGCTTAAAGTCTGCATTTTGATTTATGTTTAAATAATTATGATTATTTGATCAAAGCTTAAATTACTTATTTCAGCTTTCGTAGATATGGTATTTTATTTATTCTTTTAATTTAATCCTACTATTAGTATTAAATATTAATAGCGTTTTTAAATGAATTAATTTTATAAACTAAAACTTTGTTCAAACATATATTCCCGTAGAAGAACGAATATCTCAATATACTTACTTATCTTATATTAAGATATTTTTATAATTACTATCATTAGTTTTTGATAAATATTTTGGGATTGGAACTTTTGGTTAGAAAGTATAATCACAATCTTTAACGGCCCTCCTTAAACTCGTTAATAGATCGGCTTCCTTTTGTTCCTTTTCTTTTAAATTACTTAATTTTTTTTTTATCATTTTTAATAAACTACTTGTCATTTGCAACTTTGCTGCTACTGCGAATATATTAAATAGGAGTGTAAAAAATGTCAAGTGAATGGAATGAAAAGGCGAGTTTTATGCTGTTTACGCACATTTTGCTAGTCGGAGCTAACACCCTTCAATATGCTTCTTGGACGGGATATCATTCCCTGGGCTAGGGAAAATAGTGCAAAGTGCATGCAAAATGATTTTAATACAATTTCAAATTGACGTTGTCGATGGCCCTGATGACATTCAATTAGTGAGCCACACTTTTTCGAGCTGCAACAATTGATAAGTGATTGGTTTCTGGTTTAGACGTTTTTGCTCTTCGATTTTGTTACATTCCATTTGCTATTTTCTGCTGACCCCATTAATCAATTTGAAAAATCCTTGATGGGTGGTTATCATTTTTCTCGGTCGTCATGCAGTTCAATCCTTGCTGAGTATATCAAGGATACATTTCCAAGCATTGAGTTGAACAAGTATTTAAGATTCCAAACACTCACTTAATTAAATTAGTTCTGTTATTTTCATGTACAGCTCAATCACTAGCCAATCCATTTTGAAAAGTAATTGAATTTTCCTTTCATATTTATTGAAATGTGGCTGAAAATAATACTGAAAAAATTGAGTGCATTTTAAATAACTGGATGCGTTCGTTAATAGTTGCCAACAAATTTTTTTTAACCTAGTGTTTTACTTGTGTTTTTGTGTCAGATTTTATTAGTCATGCGATATTTGCGCTGTGCGCGATTTTTGAACTTTATTGATATTGTTCCAATAATAATTATCACTAGCATCGTTTAGCCACTTGTTAAATTAAAAGAGTTGGTGTTGATGCATGCCACACATAAACCGCATTAATAAAACTGCATTATTTTATGGATTTGTATTCACTATTTGCACCAACCGCTCATCAAGTTTAGAAAAAAAAAACAAAACACCGCCGCAATAGTCAATTTCGATTTTAATTAAAATCGACACAGAATCTGGGATACGGTCTGAATGCAAATACCATTTTTGACGTTTTTCCAAGTTGAAAGTGGTCGTCCAAGGTAAGCGAATCAAAAAGGTCACTCGAACACTGACTGACTGACAAGCCTTGCAATCTCTGTCAGTCGACCGTGAGTTCTTTTTCTGATGACCAAGACATTTTCAGATGCATCGGAAACGCAGAGGGCCGTCCTTGGATTGGAATTGATCAGGTCTTGATTACCCTGGGAAATATGGAAATCACTGCAGTCAAATAAAACTTAATTTAAATTTAAACATATTTGTATTTTCTTTATTTTAAGTTTATGTATCTTCGTTAAGCAAGTTTAATGAAACCAAAATACGAGGAAATAATCTTATTACAATCGCACCTTGAACATACAAACATAAAGTATCATTATTTTAACGTGCAAGTCCTTTTTTAAAGCCCATTAAAAAAATTTTAAAAAAGAAAAATTTGTATATCTTCTAAAAATTTTTTAGCTTTTCTTGGTACAGGGGCTTAACTACAAATATAGCTTTATAGATTTTGTTTTCAACTTATTTTAAATTTCACTTGATTAACTTGTTGATAGTTTGTGATAAGATGAATTAGAGGCATTCAAGAATATATAAAAAAGAGCAATGTATAAATAGGATTAATTATACCATTTTAAGAGCATATCCGATGCTAATACTAGCGAATAATGACTAGTAGAGATCTAATATAAACATACAATTTAAATTTCAAACTAATTAAGCCATTTGCATATAATTTCATCGGCCAAAGCGTAGTTCAACAAAAATGCTAATATTATAACAAAGATTTATCCGATTCGCGAGCATCTAAATTGTTTTCAAACAAAAAGCGTGCCATTTATTCCAAGCAATCCCTACACCAATCCCGTCTCGCTGTTTGGGATGTCAGGCTATTCGATTCCCGAAAGGACTCACCACAAAAACACACACACACACACAAATGACAACAACAACTGCCCCAGTGTCCAAGTGTCATTCTGTGATGATCTATGGACGGGAACATAAATTTTGAGTGCTCAACTCGGAGGCGTGACGGCAACAACCATCGGAATCGAAATCGGACATCGATACTGCGACGAGAATCGAATTGAAATTTGAAATTTCAAAAGTGATTACAACTATACTCGGCATTCAGCTCGGCTGTTTGTTGTTTGCGAATTTCAGGCGCTAAAAACTGATTGTTGGAAACGCCTGTAATTGGTTGCACATGCAACCGAAGCGGGGGTGGTGTGTTTTTTGCCCGGGGGAAGTGGTTTACTGCTGATTGGGTGGCCTCCACATGGGCATTGTGGCTGCAGCGGTTGCAGTTGCAGTTTTTAGCATTATTGTTATTATTTTTGCGGCGAGCGGAGAGCGCTTGTTAATGATTTATACAT